CTGCTGCTGCTGCTGCTGCTGCTGCTGCTGCTGCTGCTGCTGCTGCTCTACTACTGCTGCTGCTGCTGCTGCTGCTGCTGCTGCTAGGTTGCTGCTGCTGCTGCTGCTGCTGCTGCAGCTGCTGCTGCTGCTGCTGCTGATGCTGATGTTGTGTAGCGCAGACCCGGAGCGTGCGCTGTTCACTGTGTGCGTGTGCGCGCACAGCAAAGCCCCTGAAGGCAGACAATGGCGTGCCGGCAGCCTGTTTGAGACGAGCTGAGCTGTCCTCGCTGCAGCTGGTGCGTTCAACATCAGCAGGCTTGGCTGCCGTGACGACGCGTCGCACAGCACGTACGCGCGTGTGTGCGCCGTCGGCCGCGACGCTCACGATAGCTGTCCCTGCTCGTCGGCACGAAGAACGCACAGTGTCGTCGTGCTGGGGGAGGATAGAAGGGCAGCGCTGGTGGAGGTGACGGCTCGCTCAGTGGGCGTCGTGTGGCGTGGGGGGGAGTGTCGTGTCGGGAAGTCGCGGGACGAACGCGTCACCGTCACATCATCAGAGAGTGACAGTCGTCGCGTGCGTGCGTGCGTGCGTTGGTGCGTGCGTGCGTTGGTGCGTGCGTGCGTGCGTTGGTGCGTGCGTGCGTTGGTGCGTGCGTGCGTGCGTTGGTGCGTGCGTGCGTGCGTGCGGGTCGCCGCCATTTTACGCCGCGAATTCATTACGCTGGATTTTCCGAATCGGCTGACTGGACTACGGAAGGAATTAGTGATGTGCTCGATGCGACGCGTTCTGCCGCCGCTGCTGCGTTCTGCCGCTCTATAGCGACGTATCGAAGGCATCGTGTTTCTGCGCGCTATTGTGCGATGTGAGTGGTCTGCAGACGCACGGATCGTAATACTCGACTCTAGGCGCAGCGCAGTGCGAGATGCGCGCGAGAGAGCTAGGCGGCTGATATGTCTGCGTGATGGTCACCTATAGCGGGAACATAGGGGAGAGGATGCTGTGTGGATGCTGCAACCTGCTTCTGTTGCGATAACCGTATCGGGTACGCAGGTAACGTCCGAACAGAAAGCGTCGTCCCATTGAAGCGGTGATGAGTGATTGCAAACTGCGAGCATGACTGCGACTATGCGTGCCGTCACTTTGCAGGAAACGCTTATCGTGCAATTTCAATCTACGCGCAGTAATCTCCGAACGAAACCCGGCGCCTGCAAATCTGTGATGTCGTACGGAAACCATATTCATAGGAACGTGTGACGTTTTCGAGGGGAAAGCTTTGGTCACAAGTTTGGTGTAACAGACGATGGCTAGAAGGCCGATGACAGTAGCAGCGCATTTTAAAAGCATGTTCAACAGAAGATAGCTTCTGTGTTTATTGCTGGGTGATGCGTTCCCACAAAGCCTGCTGGACTATGATTCCCTTTACAGCGTGTTTGTTGTTTCCTTGGCAACGTAGACCAGAGCAATGGCAAAATGAGGATCAGGTAGGTAGAATGTTTATTGTTGTTGAATTTTTCCATGGTTTCCGTTGATATGCCTACGGTCCTTCCTCTTTTGTCTGGATCTGGTATCTGTGTAGGCGATTAATTTCTCAAAGATTTTTTTTACTATCATAGCTTGGGTAATACTTTATTACTGGGTAATTTATTCCGTTGGTATTGTTAGTATAGTCATTGAGCTGTATTCACAGCATGTCCCACTGAGTTCACAGTGGCTTTGCTGTATAGGGCTACTCGGTAAAATGTATTTTCCTGTGCTTAGATGTCAAAAGAATTTTAGTAATTGTTTGCAAATCGATGGAGCAGCCTTCACATACTATCAATGTTGCAATTATTTAATAAATTACTTCGCGACTTCACAACTTCAGTCAGTGTTCTGCTCCCTGGTAATTACAATTTAATTGGAGAAAACGCGTTTAATGTGAAAGCTCGATGTAAAAGAATAGGATAGAAAGAGAGGGGCGGGATAGGCGGAAGATATGGGATATATGAGTTATAGAGGGAGGTAGAGAATGAGAGAAAGGGGCGGGAGACGGCAGGAAGGAAGAGATATGTGTGGGTAGGGAAGACGGAGGGAGGGGGAAGGAGGAAGAGAGAGAGAGAGAGAAAGAGAGAGAGAAAGAGAAAGAGGAAGAGAGAGAGAGAGAGAGAGAGAGAGAAACAGAGATAGTGAGAGAGAGAGAGGGGGAGAGTAGGTCGACAGCATGTGTCTATACCCATCACCTCTCGGCTTCAGTACAGAAACCGAACTGCTTAAACTGTCATTTCGCTTCCGGGGATTTTGTATATATGAGAATTTGAGAAAAGGTTAAGAGTGCAAGACGCGGGCATGTCTAGCCGATTCTCCACTCTCCGAGTTGCTGCTCGCAAGCGAGTCCGTATTAACGTCAGATGCAGCTGGGCACCAATTCTGTGATAGGCGGATACAGTACCAGCATCGTGCTGGTAGTTAGGAACGGAGGGAGCGATCGTGAATAGAATCGAACGTTTTACTAATTTATAACGAGGGCAATTATAATGATGAACGACATTGGTGCTGCGTGCGGCGACGGCTGGGAGGTAGTAGGGTGGTGTCGTGGTGACGATGCAGCGCTGCTGTGACGTGGGACCCCCGTGACGTGAGAACCCCCGTGACGTGGGACCCCCCGTGACGTGAGGACCCCCATGACGTGAGGACCCCCCGTGACGTGAGGACCCCCGTGACGTTAGGACCCCACGTGACGTGAGGACCCCCGTGACGTTAGGACCCCACGTGACGTGAGGACCCGCGTGACGTGAGGACCCTCCGTGACGTGGGACCCCCGTGACGTGAGGACCCCCCGTGACGTGAGGACCCCCGTGACGTTAGGACCCCACGTGACGTGAGGACCCGCGTGACGTGAGGACCCTCCGTGACGTGGGACCCCCGTGACGTGAGGACCCCCGCAGGTCGCCGCCGCAACGTGAATCCCTCACGAGAGCCGGAGACATGCGCGGGTCTCGTCGAACACGTAGTGAGGGAGCCTCATATCCTGCTGATTATGCACATCATTGCGCTACACTAGCGTAGTCTTTACTACGTCATTCTCAGATCTACCTTCACGACGGTCACACTACGTACGGAAGGCACGCGAGCTCGTAAACACGCCCACATGCACATACCGACGCAAACATGCACACGCACACACGCACACATGCACACACACACACACACACACACACACACACACACACAC